TGTTGTTACACCTGAGCTTCCTGGGTTTTGGCATTATCGCCAGCTTAGCCTCTCTTGTTGTCCATTCACCCCTCCAGACAGTTTTCTTGAGTAAGACCTGAATGCTGTGCCTTGGCCACATGGAAAGCAGTCGTGTATCTTGCATGCTGACAAACTCTGGGAGAGCAGATCGCTCAACACAGCCTCTACTCCTTGGTTTGTGTCTTGAAACTCTTGCTCTTGACATTTCTCAGGTGGGAGTCAGACACATTGAATGTGTCCCACCCATGCAGGGCACACAGATCATGCTCTCAGGGGGCTCCTGTGAAGGCTCCTCACTGATTTCAACACGAGGGACTGACATCCCAGTCTTACCTCTAAGGAGAGGATTGGAATCCCAACACACTTAGAATCTAAGAAGCTTCTCGTAACTTCCCCCTCTCTTTTCATGGCTTCTTCAATCTCTTGTCAACCCAGCTCACCATTGAAAATGGTCTCAACCCCCCAACTCTTTTAAGAACTGTCTTATTTGCAATAATTATACGTTCATCAGTTCAGTTCACTCACTCAGTCATGTCTGACTCTTTGCGACCCCAGGGACTGAAGTTGCAAATAAATGTATAGAGAGATCCCATACAACCTTCACCCTCAATGTTAACATCTTGCTTAACTGCAAAGCAGTATCAAAATCAGGAAACTGACACGGGTACAATCGACAGTGCCTATTTGTGTTTCACACTCAGGTGTGTGTGTGTTTGCAGCTCTGTGTAATTTTCTCACATGTGTAGTTCCATGTAACCACCACCAGAATCACATACACGACTGTACCACCACTACAAGGCTCTCTCAAACTACCTCTTTAGCACACCCCTTTCTTCTATCACCCCTAACCCAGAAACCACTCATCTGTTTTCCATGTCTGTAATTATTTTATTTCATGGGATTATTCAGTGTGCCTATTTTTGAGATAGTCATCTCCTTTTTAAAAGTTTTTAAAAAAATAGTTTTTTTTTCATTTATTTTTATTAGTTGGAGGCTAATTACTTTACCATATTGTAGTGGTTTTTGCCATACATTGACGTGAATCAGCCATGGATTTACATGTGTTCCCCATTGCGATCCCCCCTCCCAAAATAATAGTTTTACTTTGGAATATTAACACATTATTTTTGCGCTTCAGCTAAAACAGAGGTAAGAAGAGTCCCATTTTTGACATCCTGTTACAGTTTTGTTCACATTTGAACATATTTTCTATTTTGTGTCTTCCTGATGATTCAGCAGAAGTAGATGTTTTCATACTGTCCATGGGATTCTCAAGGCAAGAATACTGAAGTGATTTGCCATTCTCTTTCCAGTGGACCATGTTTTGTCAGAACTCTCCACTGTGACCTGTCTGTCTTGGGTGTCCCTACAGGGCTTGGCTCATAGTTTCACTGAGTTAGATAGACAAGGCTGTCTACATCTACTTCTGCTTTATTGTCTATGCCAAAGCCTTCTACTGTGTGGATCACAACAAACTGTGGAAAATTCATAAAGAGATGGGAATACCAGACCACCTGACCTACCTCCTGAGAAACCTGTATGCAGGTCAGGAAGCAACAGTTAGAACTGGACATGGAACAACAGACTGGTTCCAAATAGGGAAAGGAATATGTCAAGGCTGTATGTTGTCACCCTGCTTATTTAACTAATATGCAGAGTACATCATGAGAAACGCTGGGCTGGATGAAGCACAAGCTGGAATCAAGATGGATGGGAGAAATATCAATAACCTCAGATATGCAGATGACCACCCTTATGGCAGAAAGTGAAGAAGAACTAAAGAGCCTCTTGATGAAAGTGAAAGAGGAGAGTGAAAAAGCTGACTTAAAACTCAACATTCAAAAAACTAAGATCATGGCATCTGGTTCTATCACTTCATGACATATAGATAGGGAAACAATGGAAACAGTGAGAGACTTTATTTTTTGGGGGGCTCCAAAATCACTGCAGATGGTGACTGTGCCCATGAAATTAAAAGACACTTGCTCCTTGGAAGAAAAGCTATGACCAACCTAGATAGCATATTAAAAAACAGAGACATTACTTTTCCAACAAAGGTCCATCTAGCCAAACCTATAGTTTTTCCAGTAGTCATGTATGCATATAAGAGTTGGGCTATAAAGAAAGCTGAGTGCCGAATTGATGCTTTTGGACTGTGGTGTTGGAGAAGACTCTTGAGAGTCCTTTGGACTGCAAGGAGATTCAGCCAGTCCATCCTAAAGGAAATCAGTCCTGAATATTCACTGGAAGGACAATGTCAGCTTCAGAGTTGAAACTCCAGTACTTTGGCCACCTGATGCAAAGAACCAACTCATTGGAAAAGACCCTGATGCTGGGAAAGATTGAAGGTGGGAGGAAAAGGGGATGACAGAGGATGAGATGGTTTGATGTCATCACCGACTTGATGGACACGAGTTTGAATAGGCTCCAGGAGTTGGTGATGGACAGGGAGGCCTGGTGTGCTGCAGTCCATGGGGTCACAAAGAGTTGGACAAGACTGAGTGACTGAACTGAATTGATGATTCCTCATTGCACTCATTTAACAAATATTTATGGAGTGCCTGGCACAGTATTATCTTTGGTGCTCCTGCTCTGCATTGGCCTTAAAGTTCTCAGGGAAGCAAATAATTCCCAAGGTCTCCTGTTGGGTTTATGGTTAATTCCCAGGCTATTGTTCTACAAGGGTTTGTTTTTAAGGTGCTTTAATTTAAACTTACCAGCACTGAATTTCCTGTACGAATTTCTGCCTAGCCTCAAAAAGTCTCTATCCCATTGATTTGCTATTTTACTCCTTAGAAGGGCTTCCCAGCAGGCACAAATTCCTTAGAACATCTTGGGGTCATCCACAACCATGAAAATTTCACTGTGTGCACAGTTCTTCAAATCTCTATAAAATTACTCACCAAGATCAGCCCCTCTTGGGCTCCAAGAACTCCTACTTTTTGCAAAGGAATAACTCTATTTTTTATTACTTGGTTTTCCTATATTGAAATTCAATTCTTTATCCATTTCAAGTAGTCCCTTAATCTTATAGAGACTCAACAGCTTTTTGTCTGTGTAAAATTTTTTATTTATCTGGCTGTCTTGGGCGTTAGCTGCAGGATCTTCATTGCGTCATGGGGATCTTTCGTCGCTGCGCTTGGTCTAGTTGTGGTGCATGGGCTTCGGAGCACGTGGGTTTCATGTTGCATGCAGACTTAGTTGCCCTGTGGCATGTGGTATCTTAGTTTCCCGACTAGGAACTGGACTCAGCTTCCTGCATTGCGGAAGGCAGATTCTTAACCACTGGGTCACCATGGAATTCCCTCAACTGATCTTTACTTGCCCACAGTAGGGTTTTGGTGTGGACACTTGCCAAAGGCAACTCCGAAACCTGAAAAGTGACTCTCTCCTCTTTCCCCGGACCCTCAAAGAGCTCTGCTAATCAGACCTGGTTCCTGGTGTAGAATTCATCTTGCCTTTACCTCCGTGCGTTGTGCAGATCTGAGCTTTCTGCCGTTCTGTGCTTCATTTGACGATTCCACCAGCTTGGTGAGCAGGGAAGGGAGAAACAACCAGTGACTGATGCCCTAGAGTCCCCTCTGGGGTCTTGGAAGGAGCCTGGTATTAGCGACCTGACTGTTCTGAATCTAACACAGCAGCTGTTGCAACAACTAGTTTCACATCGTGGTCAACAGCTCCACAATCCTGCCCACGAATTTACTCGAAATTCTTAGGTGGATTCCATCCTGTCTGGGTGATTTATTGATACCTGTTTTGTCAGTTAAGACTAGACCATTCTGTGCATTGACTGCAATTTTACTGAATACTCCGACCTGTCCATTTGAAGGGTGCTCATTTCCTGGGTAGAGGGCATGACCCAGAGCTGGTACAATTTCTCTTCCTTAGTGCATTCCATCCACGTCTTCAGTTTCTTGGCTTTAGTTTTGACATTTTGGGGGGATTTCTTGCAAGGTGTTCTTTAATGAATGGTAGAATTTCAGAACTAAAAGGAAAGTTCAAATGTGACCTTGTTCGAATGCCACAGCCTAAAGATGAAAAACTAAATTCAAGAGAAGTTACGTGCCTGGATCTGACCCATTTAGTAGCTGTATACTTCCTTTCTTGTTATGTGTGCTTAGTTTTTGCTATTTATGTTCCTGTGAACTTTCGAAAAAGAGGAATTTCCTTTTAGGTCTTTAATCACTCTTCTTTTGTAAACTTCCCCGATGCTATGAAGAGGGTATCTGAGCCAAGCTGTCAGGTGCCCTGCTGACAGCTGGTTACTTTCATTCTGTTATTTGGGATCCAGAGGTGCCTCCAGTCACCCTGCAGGATAGCAAGCCCTCCGCCCAGCCCTGCCCAGCTCAGGAACCCCTCTGCCTGCTGCCTGCAGCGTCTGCTTGACACGCGCTGACAACTTGTTCACTTCTCCACAGACGGGAATTCCTGGTTACGCTGTGTTCCTTTTATAAAACAGACTGCTTTCCCAAAGGCTGCTTTCTCAGAGCATCTCATTTCGCTGTTGCTGTTGGGAGATCTGAGACGTGACACCCACAGGGTTTAAGTGGGATGGGAAGAGGTGGGTTGCCCGTTCCTTTCTTCCTGAAGGGTGTGAAGCCAGCCAGCTTCCTTTGACTCATCATCCTGCTGCCTTATTTTTACAGCTTCAGGGAGGCACAGATTGCCCGCCTCCCTCCCAGCCCTCGCTCTGAACACCACGTGCGCATTTAGTACTGGCAGGGAGTTCTCTGTCCACACCTGGTCCGAGTGGCCGTTCCCACTCCTGTGATGTCCCCAGCGGCCGTCTCCGGGGCCGGAGGCTCCTGCTCTCTCTCTCCGCCCCTCCTGCAGTCCATGCACAGGAGTGCTTGGAGAATCACGAGGCTGAAACCAAGTGTGCCTTGCCTTTCCTCCAGGCTGTCAGAGCAGAGACCACGGCTCCATGTCAGGGGGCCCTGAGGCAGGGCTTAAGTGTTTCTGCTTCTCTGGTGTTCCAGCTGCCCGGCACGCAGCAGGCTTCAGTGAGCCCATGGTCATCATCGGATATATCCTGGCCGGGCTCTCTGCCTCCATCTCGGCCCTCAGCTAGAGAGAGAACTCCACACTCCTCTACTCAAGGCTCTCCGCCCGCCACCCGCTGGCTGCCCCACCCCGCTTGCTGTGGAGGAATGAATGACTGTCCCTGCTTGCGTTTCCCTCCCTGCCGGCTGGCGTAGGACACCCAGGCCCTTTTGCCACAGCCTGCCCAAGGCCGTCGAGTCCTCCCGCCCTGTGATGCTGACTTGTTTGCAGACGTGCCCTGGCCGTGGGGTGGTAGCAGACCCGACTCCAGGTGGTTAGGTTTGCCCTCCTGCCCCTCCCCTGTCACAGGACAAGGATAGGCCCGGGGCTGCGTGGCTGGGCCCTAGAGGGGCACCCGTGGGGGAGGGCTGCCCCGGCAGACCCCCAGATATGTAGAGAAACGGGCGCTCACTACCGGGCACCCCTTGGCTGGGGTAGCTGCCTTGGGGTCCCCAGGGTCCTCTTTGTGGGCCTTTGTGGACACTCAGCCCCATTCACTGCATTCTGGCAGCTCCCGCTGACCTCAGGGCCTTGCATATGCAGTGTCTTCCACTTCTGAGGTTTTTTCTTCAGCTGTCTGATGGGATATCTGGAGGCGATGAGTGCGATGAAGCAGGGTGAGAGGGAGGTGAGCCTGGCAGATGCAGAAGGAGGCTGTTTTCAACAGAGTGGCCTGAGGGGGTCCTCTGAGTGGAGACTTGAAGGAGGGGAGTGAATAAGGCAAACAGCGTCTCCTCCACACACCACTCTTCCTCCCGCCTTGGGGGCTTGGTCCAGCCCCTTGTCCTCCTAACCCGAGGCCACATCCTTTCCCAGTTCCGTGGCTCATCGGAGGAGGCTGGCATCTGCTGTGGCAGATGGCCCTGGGTTCTAGTGGCAACCCAGCAGCTTCCCAGGTGTTCGTTGGGGAGAGCCATCTTGGTTTTATAGCCACCTGGTATCATAAGAAGTTAGACTGAGAAAAATGATATTTAGCAAGAATTTAAAAGACACGTGCAATCTGCCATTCTTCCAGTTTTTCTGAAAACAGCTCCTGGATCCCATCAGGTTGGCAGGAGCTGCCTACGTGGGTGTCATGTTAGCCTCCTGGCCACCATTCTGCTACAGTTGAACTGTCCTTTCTTGCGATGCCACCAGCCAGGGCTGAAAGTTCATAGAAGAAATGTGCTCTGGAGCCTCCTACTCACAGCGAGGTCTGAGGACCAGTAGCGTGGTGGCCTTGCCAACACTGGGGAGCTTGTTGGGCATGCAGAGACTCAGGTCCACCCCAGCCTGTCTGGATCAGCTCCCCCAGTGACCTGGGAGCACCTCAAAATCTTAGAAGAGCCAATCAATTCCTCATTGATGACATCACTCGGAGGACTTTTGCTTTGCTGGTGAATTCCTGCTTGGTTAAAGTGGAAGTTAAAGTGTTAATTGCTCAGTGGTGACTGACTCTTTGTGACCCCATGGGCTGTAGCCCATCAGGCTTCTCTGTCCATGCATTTCTCCAGGCTAGAGTACTGCAGAGGGTAGCCATCCCCTCCTCCAGGGGATCTTCCAAACCCAGGTCTCCTGCATTGCAGGCAGATTCTTTACCATCTGAGTCACCAGGGAAGTCCCACTGTTTAGTTAGTCCCAACACAAACGGCTCTTCTGAGCATTTTCTTTGCTCTGCTTTTCTTACTGACATTGTAAATTGTGCCCAGTTTCTTTCTTCCTGATGACTGCTAGATCTGTATCTTCTGCCCACCTAGCATTGTGACTTGTACAGAGTGAAGTATTTGATGCATGAATGAATGAATCCATCTCCCGTATTACTAGACTAAACCAGTTTCCAAGGCTTACAGTGGCATGGCATGCTTGTTTTCATGGCATCGGAGTGGTGGAGAAGTTGGCAAGTGGCCTGAGGACAGGGGCCCACGAGCCGAGCGGGTGCTGACTGTGAAAGGGGAGAGCTGCTTCTGGATGAGGATGAGGAAGAAGGCCAGTTTTCAGCGTTGCCTTTCACACAACCAGAAGCTCTGCCCGTTACACATAGAGCCCTGTGGGCCCCTCACATGCGCCATGTGGGCTTCGGGGTTGTCAGTTGCATGACGATGACTGACAGGTGGGCCAGGCGAAGGTGCCCCCCCCGCCCCGAAGGCTCCCTTTCTCCTCCCTGCTGCAGGGGGTGCCTCTGGACTGCCAGGCACTGGGACTTCTCTCACCGCTTTCCGGGAGGGAGAATGTCCCAGGTCCAAACTCCCCTCCCAAACCACAGCCTCCCTGGGAGTCCTCACTCGTCTTCTGCAGGGTCGGGCTTGGGGAGCAAAGGGAGCCGGACTGGTGGAGGCCCTGTCTAGCTCAGGCTGCACGAGGGTGGGTGCAGGTCGTTTCTCCCTCCTGCGTCCAGAAACCAGCGCCTCTCTGAGCGGGCTTGCAGATTTGGGGCAGATGGGCTCCTGCCCATCTGGAGGAGGGTTGGGTGGCTAAGACAAAGGTATGATTGACAGGCCTGTGCCAGCCTCTTCCTGCCGTGTATAGAATGGTGCTTCTAAAGTTCCAGGAGGAATATTGCTTCCTTGTCTACTGGGTTTTTGAGTCAAGTGAAGAACAGACCTACAAGAATCATAATTAGCAAATGTGTGTGTGAGTGTGTGTATGTGTGTGTGTGTATACATACATGTATACATATGTATATATGTATTTGTTGTGTGTATGCATATGTATGCATGCGTGCATGCTAAGTCACTTCAATTGTGTCCAACTCTTTTGTGACCCCATGAACTGTTCCAGGGTCCTCTGTCCCTGGAACTTTCCAGGCAAGAATGCTGGAATTGGTTGCAATTCCCTTCTCTAGGGGATCTTCCAGATCCAGGGATCGAACCGAAATCTCTTATGTCTTCTGCATTGGCCAGTGGGCTCCTTACCACTAGCATAACCTGGTAGGCCCATACATATATTTATGATGTATATGTGTATGTATACATATCCCCCTTCACCGTGGAATTAAATTGTTTTATATGTCATACACATAAGATATTAAAATGCAGATTTTTTGGTCATTTTTATATAAGAAAGTAGAGAAGTGACTCAGATGGGGCAGGACAGGAGTGGGTGCTGCTATAATTAGAAAGCTAGTCTCTCATCTAAATGTGATCCTGGGGGTTTAAAAGCAGATACAGATAACCTAACACCTTCTGGGTCTTGGTGCAGAAGTGGTGAAGAGGGGCAAACACAGACCTGCCCTTCTCTACAGCAGAAGGCCATCACGCCCTTCCAGGCCCCCTGCCTCTGGAAACCACTCTTCCCACATGCGATCACAGGGAGTGAGGCTCTGGAATCTGTACTGACGTAAGCACACCTTTCAGTCTGGGTCACAGAGTCTGCACGAAAGGAGATCAAATTTTCCTTGTTAATGGGTCTTGACCCTGGGCCACTTTTTACCTGCTGTGCCCATTTCATCTGTTATGAAGTACTCCCAAATCTCCTTGGAGACGGCTGCCAATTTGGAGCATACAGATGTGCACTCATGTCTTAGATTACCTTTGCCAACACACATTACCTTCTGTTTATTTGTGTTAAGTTTCAGCTGCCTTCAGGCTCCCCTATCCCCCAAAGTGTTCAAATGCATCTGGAGTTTCTTGCAAATCTCCTTAGTTTTTATTAGCCAAAACAAGAGAGAGCCAGCTGAAATCTCTGGGAAGAGATTAAACAACAATTATATGAAAATTGCTCGTGTCATCTCTGACCAGGTAGTGGAGGTGGGGATGGCTAGGGTGCCAGGTAGGACGGTGCTCACATCAACTTGTGACTCTGTTGATCTCACAGCCCTGGAGAGGAGCCAGGGAGCCCATTGAGGTGTTTGCTTCTCTAAGTGGAATATGTAGATGTCAGTGCTTCAAGAGGGCTTGGAAGCCCCCCCTTGCAGAGCCTGTGGGGGAGGCATGTTATATAAGGCATTTCTGTCTGAGCAAGTTGGTTATCAGAGAAGACAGAGCAGAAGAGCTGGCAGGAAGTGAGCCGGGGAGGAGAAGGAAGTGTGTGCAGCAGCCTGCTCAGATATATAAAAATACCAGCAACGTTTCATCCAGGGTGGGAGGGAAGCAGGCATGTGGCTCCAAGGGCTTGCCCAAAGAAGCCAAGCTGTGAACTTGACTGAACCTGGAAGCCGGAGTGAGGGGCTGGCCAGGATGGAGCGGCAGCCCTCAAGACCAGCGGCAGAGAAGATGATGAGCAGCCCAAACTGAGAGGAGAGGGAAAACAGGACTGTTGGCAAGAAGCAGATCTCCTTGAGCTCGGCAGGTGCTAGGCCCCTCCGTGTGGGTAGATCGGAGCAGGTCCCAGGGCCTGTCGATGAGCTGAGTGTGCCAGCTCCAAGCTGTTCCACAGACAGTAGGTGTGAACCCCAAGTCATCTCAGACATTCAGCTGTATACTATTTCTCTTAAGAAAAAACATTGAGAAAGCACCAGACCCAAAGGAGTCCTTTCTCTTCAGCCTGGTTACCTGTGTAGAAATTGGGCCATTTGAAAGACACAAGTCTCGGTGGGTGACTTGCCGGCTCCCCTTCCCTTTTGGCAGCAGGCTGGGAAGAGCTTTTCCCTTTCAGACTCAAAGATATGCACCATTTCGTTTTTCTGTTCCATTTGTAGGACCAGAAGCCAGCAGCACATGACCCCCCCCTCCCCTTCCCGGACAACTCTATTCTCTTTTTGGTCCTTCTGTTTCCAAGCTGGGTTTATTAATTGCATGACCTGAGTACCCCATGTCTAGCAGTCAGAACTTGATCAAGCTCAGGCATCCAGGAGAGTGACCACCATCACCTGTGCAGCCCTGCTCACAAATCACCCCTGACCCTCCCGTCTGCTGCACCTGGGGTTTGCTTCATATTCCTTGTGACTGTGGTGAAGACCCACTGTTGAGAAAGGGAGGCAAAGGCTACCAGTGTTCGGGGGATCAAATGCAGAGCTAGGGACTGGGTCAACCAGTTGGGGAAGAAGTGGGACCAGGAGAAAACCTCCCACAGAGTCCCACCTGCTCAGTGGCTTTCTTTCCTCTTCTTCTT